ATCATACTAAAAACACAGAATATCAAATCATTAAATAAAGACCCATTTTTATTTAATTCTCGCAGTGTAAAATTGATAAAATCAAAACAAGAAAGTCAAGAGTGCCCGACTAGAAATTACCCATCTATACTTAATCATGAACTATCTTTTATAATGTTCATACATAGTTTTTGTACAGAACAGTTTGTATCTATAGCTTCACCTTTAAATAAGCATATACATATACATATACGCATACTCTTGATAATTTATCCGCATAATTATGACTTCGGATATATCGACTGCTTTGTGCAATGAACCCTAGCTCAACTTTATTATACCTTGATTCCTTATTTAACGGGTACAGGGTATACAACTAAAAAACTTTGAGTCTAAATTATGTGCATCTCAAATAAAATGCCACATATTTGCATAAATGAGCCAAATACCATTCAAACTATTTTACATTTTTAATGAACCCAAAAAAATTATATATATATATATTTTTATATACTCCTCTTTTATCGTCTGTGACTTTTATCGATTTATGCGCAATAGCCGCCATAAAGAAGAGTTTTATGACTTTAAATTAAGAATTGTATCGACGACTATTAATTAATTAATAGACACCCAGTGCATTTAAAGGTTTTTTCTAAAGTTTTCAATAAAAAATTAAATTATAAGCGAACAATACAATCATAATTTATGTTAAATATGGGTGCTGCCAAAAACTCAAATAACTAATAAATCCAGGAAGTAAGTCTTGTTAAGCGATTTAAAAATACATATGTATGTACATATGAATACCATCTACCGCTTAACCTGGACTTGATTTATCTAGTTTGAATACTTGTTGGAGGAGCTACGCAACAGTTGAGCTCTGCTGAGAAAACAGTGTTGAAAAACGCAAAAATATGTCAACGAACATTTGCGACAGCTGGCAAAAGATATCGATAGAAGATATCGATATGAAGACACACATTTGCCAGTCACAGCTTAACATTTCTAGATCTACCAACCGACAAAAGACTTGTTTGATTACTTAAGCAGTAAAATAAATTTATAAATTTACGCGCTCCACGCATATACGTCATGTTGTCTGTTCCTTACTTGCAGTATATTTAAATAACAGTTGGACTTCGCTATTCCTATTTTGTGACGCTGTTGGTAGCTCGAATCTGTCAATAACAGCAAAATTTAAATTAAAGCCCCATTTTCCAATTTACCGGCTAGCTAAAACAAAAATTGAAAGAAATTATTAACTAAAACTGTACCGCCAATTGCTTTAGCATATTTTTATAAATCTGAAGAATCGGGTATGGCAGCCCAAGCAGAAATGTTGCCCTCCACTGTTAATAACAGATGAGCAAACTGTTAAGTTTTTGATGCCGAAAACATATGTTTGAGAAACGAAAAGCAGGGACTTAATATTTAATAAAACCATGGAAGACCCTCTGAAGCCCAAACCAGTACCGCTGGCGGCAGAAACAGTATTGTGGTTTGAATTTCTACTAGATCCGAACAAAATAACACAGCATTTGCAATGCAAAAATCCCGGTATGAGATGCAACGAAGCTACTCCAAATCTTTTAGATGTGACATTGGCAACTTTATTTCACATACTTTCAGAGCCCAGTGCCGTGGAGCTAATCATGCAGTTTATCAGCATGACGCCGGACACCGCGATAGCATCAACTGTGGTCACGCCGGGCAGCGATTTGCAGAACCTAGCCGGTGCCAGCGTCGGCGCCAATGCCACCACGCCTGCGGCCTCAGCGGCACTCAATGTGCCGCTCATAGCCCAGCAGCAACGGCAGGGAGATGTACATCTGCAGTTGACGCGCAAACAGTTGGCCTTAAAAATTCTCGAGCTGAAGGTGGCCACTTGGCTCAGGTGGGATCTGGATGCGCTAGAGAAAGGCCTGCCCGTGCTCATGCAGCTGGGTCTGCTGCGCGATCTATGCACCATCAGCTATGGTCGCGTCGTCAGCATTCCGTTCCCAAACGATTTTGATTTCAAGATTTGTAAGTTTCCTTTTCCACACTTGCGTCCTGTAAGATTGATTGTGTGTGTGTGTGTGTGCTTGTGTTTTTCAGCACCCTCTGGAAACGAGCGTGCTGCGCGCTTTGCACTGACCATCTACCATCGGATGATACTTCGGCTGCAGCTCATTAAGGACAGCGCACTGAAGAGTCCGCGTCCCCTTATGTGAGTCTAAGGCACAATTACGGACAGACTTAATAGTTTCACTTCTAATGGCAGGTTTCAGGCGGTTGATCAGCTGCAACAGTTTTTGGACACACCCACCCAACCCTCCATCGAATATCTGGAGCAGCTGTGCTCATCAGCGTCCAGCAAACCTTTTCATGTGTTCCACTACGACAGCTTTGTGGCCCTGCAGTGCGACACACTAAGCACCGCACAGAACTTCGACATAATGCACTTGATCACTCCACAAGAACTGCGCGCCCAGCTTCAGTCCGAGCTGGCCCATTACTACCTCCATACCAAGCAGTATGTGCTGGCGCGTGATTCAGCCGCCGGGTGCAACAGCAATCTTCAAGCGCTGCCACCTGGAATGACGCGCTTCTTTTGCCACATTCGACCCACGGAGTTGGAGGGTCTGTTGCAGGCTTGTGGCATCAGCGCACAACAGCAGACACTACTGGAACGCTTTCATCAATCCCTGCTCAACAGCTATACAGACATTGTGTCTATACTGCGCCTAGACAATCGTGCGCGTGAGATTCCACTGGTGAGCCGGCGGAACGTAGAGCTAGACATTGAAGGTGCGATCTCTACCGGACTGCTAAAAGAGACGAGCCAGTTGCTGCTGCAAGTTGCCGCCCTAAATGTAGTTCGCACCGTGTTCGAGTGGGGCAATATTTTTGGCAGCGTGGAGTATTTTGAGAAGTACCATGACTTGGACTACATGCCACCCTTTATGGAGGCAATGCAAGATGCTCTGGCACACTGCAGCCATTCAGAGCAGGCGGCACTTAAACATTTTCTTATTGATTGTGTCTTGTACCAGCAGCAACAGCAGCAGCTGGAACAAAGCCGACAGCTGCTACACACTTTGCGAGGCATGGGTATATTTTCTAAAGAGGAACTGGTCGATTTGGATGAGCAGCTAGTCCAGGCGGCGCTGCCGGTGCTTAGCAACTCGTTGGCTACACTCAACGATTGGATATGCCATTCAAAAAGTAGGTCTTATTAACCCAACAAATTTCTACGAACTGATTTCCACTGATTGCCTATATTACAGTGACTCGCGTTGATGTAGCCGCGCTGGAGCGTCAGTTGATCACCTGCACGAATGCGAACAGTGTGAGGATTCTACTGGTCAAACTGTGTGGCACGGCACCTGGTAAGCCGCTGTGGGCAATCAATCCCAGCTGGGATGTGCCACAGCCGCTAAAAACACTTATCATGGCAATGCCGGTTAGCTTTCTGCAAGACTTCAGCTACGTACTATTGGGAAAGGCGCGGGAGCTGGCGGCCCGTGGCAACTACATTGATGCGGTGTCTATGTTGAGTGTGCTTAAGTCTGAAACGCAACGTCAGGAACTGGGTGGCAGTGCGCAATTGATGTGCAAGCTGATAACTTGGGAAATACTGCATATACAGATCACGCAGTGCTTGGATGAATGGCATCAGAAGCCACTCGACCTGCAAGCGCTCGGCACACGTTGCAAACAATGCTTGGGCGCTTTGCAGGCGGGCGATTCAATGATGCCAAGACTGGAAATTCTCGAGAGCTGCGCAATCATGCTGCTGAATCTAACGGACTTCCCGCCGCTTCTTTACCTAGACAAGCGGGCGCAGCAGTTGGAATTACCGTTGGCCTTTGCAGCCACCTTTATTGAAATGGAAAAGATGAAGGGGCCCAAGAAGGTGTGTCGCGATGCCTGGGAACTGATGCTCAGCTTGTTCCTCAATGTGCCCAAGCGTGCGTCATCAGGCGCTGGCAGCGGCGCCAGCAGCTCGCTTCAAGCATTTCTGCAGCGTGTGCGCCATCAGAGTGTTTTTGGACTTGCTATTTCCATGCTCGGAAAAATGCACAACATACTGAAAGATGACCCCAATCACGATTTAAGCTGCGAATACATGCAGCTCTGGCCCACCAGCATTAACAAGTAGGAGTATTCTGGTTTATAAATAACAAGTTCTTAAATTTTACTTATTCTTCCAGCCTAAACAGCTACAGTCTGCGAAGTGTATGTGAGACGCTGCAGTGGCTGCTTTCCGAGGCACTCAGCTACTATCCGCAGACTATCTCCTGGCTAAAAATGAAGGGCGATCTAGAGCTGGCTATTGGCAATAATGAGTCTGCCATGCGCTGCTATGTTAACGCCCTGGTCACGGGGACCGACTACTGCACCATGCCGCTACAGCGCAACGTGGCCGATGACTATGTGATTAGGAAGATGATTAGGTGTGCCGCCAACTTGGGCTGCCACATGCAGGCCACCGTTCTTTGTCAATTTCTAGACGAGATCGACTATGGCATTGTCTTCAAGAATCTCAGCGAAAAGTCATCTAACTTCACAGATGCCATGGATGCATACTACAGCTGCATATGGGATACAACGCTCCTCGAATTTATCGTAAATCTACACGCGAAACGAGGCGAACACAGTCGAAAACTGGAGGCGGTACGTCAAAACGAATAGATTGATCAGACATATTTCATTATTATTTTAATGGTCACACTTGCGGTGTTATAGATCTCAATGATGGGCACCTTGGAGCTAAATGCCAACAACAATGAGGAGATCAAACGGGAGAGCGCAATGGTACGCAAGTCGCGCTTCTTACGCGCCCTGGCCAAGCAGTATTTGCTGTAGTCACAGGCGGGGTCACCCCCATCCTAGCTACAAACTACATCCACGACCAAGCCCACAAAGAAGACCAATTAGAGTTAAGCCCCAAAAGGTTTTGTAATGTTACGCAATTAGAATGTAAGATTAAAGTGTAGCAATAGGTTTTCCTGGTTAAATTAAAGAAACTTGTATTTTTTTAGGAACACTCACGCTAATTACTTTGGCCTTCTGCCACGTCCAGCGCTACTTGTTTTAGCCTTCTTATTATTCGCACTTTTCTTGGCTTCCTCGGCCTTGCGCTTGGCAGCACTAGTGTTTGCATTGGGGGTACTAGGCAGTGTCGTGAAGAAGCTATCGAGGCGAACCTGCGTTTGTGCCTGCTTCGACTTGAGCAATTTCTTGGCACCGTTACGCACGCGCTCCTCGTTAAACTGCCGATCGCCGCACAAAAACTGAACCAAGCCATCCTCATCGGGCTCGGTCCACTTTAGGTCTATAGCGCTGGCATCGGCCACATCTGGTTCGATGAAGAGCTCGCGTGCTCGCTTGTAGTTCCAGTTCTCCGGCACTGGGTATTTGCTGGTGTCGATGTTCTCCAAAATGGTCTCAATGTCCCGGTAGCTTTTGATCAGCTCTATGGCGCGCTTAGGTCCGACGCCTTTAATGCTCTCGCAGTAATCACAGCCCATTAGAATGCACAGATCAATGAATTCCTTGCTCGTCAGCTCCAGCCCCTGCAGCACCTTGTCATAGCTAAACTCCTTGACAGGCATTTTGCGCGCTTCGCTGTAGGTCAAATAGCGCAAAAGCTTACAAGATCCAAAGGTTAGCGCATCCATATCTTCCGTTGCCGTAGCATATACTTTGCCTGCCTTAACTAGAGCAGCACATTGGGCCTCAGCCTCACACGGTGCGTCTACATAGGGAACACCCATGAGCTTGAGTAGCTCTTTAGCCTCGCGCGAATGTTCCTTAGTGACGCGCACCAGGCGACGATTGAATTTGTCTATCTCCGCTTCATCACCCGCCTCTGTTGCCGCTTTCAGTGCTTTTTCGGCCTCCTCCCGCCGTTCGGCGCGCTTCGCCAGCTCGCCAGATTTCAAATCTGGCGGCTGTCCATCGAAAACGTAGACCGGCTTTATGCCATTATCCAGCAGCCGAATGGTGCGGTAAAACATGCCCATGAGATGTGAGGTTGGATCACCGTTGACGGTAGCTAGCTGCGCGCCCTCCGACCGAACCGCAATGAGAAACTGATACAGGCACATGCTGGCATCAATAGCCACTTTGCGACCTGGATTGCGATTGAAATTGGTTTTAGCTATTCAATAAATGCAATGCTTGCGTTGGATGCCTACTCACCAAAAAAGTTTTTAATTTCACTTTCACGTATGGCCTGTGGAGCCAAATCCGCAATTAGCTTCGATAAGCCCAAAATACCCATGATAATTGTTTAGTGTGTGCTTGTTCGGTGTTCACTTATTGTTGATTATTACTATGATTTCGCTAGACGAATACTCAGCGCGCGCTTTTAGTTGCAAATGTTGTGCACGCGTCTTGCTGTGAGTGTCAAATAAATGCAGCGCATTTGCGAAATATCGATAGCCGCTATAGTGACAGAGGTAAGTACGTCTAATGGCAAGCATAATGACTAAGCAGCTTGTGAAAGAGTTTTCATTTAAATTTGTTAAATACTCGACTGAAGCTTAAATGAGTGTAATTTGGTGGTATGTTATATTTTAATTTATCTTGCCGCCAATTATCGAATTCGAGATTGCATCGTTATCGATGTATTTACTCATCCCTAACGCCACACACATAAGCAAAAGCATGTCGGCTGACGAAAAAAAAGATAAAACCATTGAAAATATGGTATGTAAAATACTGCAAATTATTTCAAAATCAAGTTGAAAGTGCTTGCCACAAACGCGCATAAAAAAACTCCTGGATGCAAATGTGTTTATCGTGTAACTAAAGCGCAACAAATATTGCTCTCGACAAATCGGTCTTCTCCCCTGCGACCATTCGTTTATGTGTATAAACATGGCGTCGTTGCGTTTGTATGTTGCTTGTGTCTAGTTTTCGGTGCGTGTGAGCGGGACAACGTGTGCATGCCAAATGCCCCCATAGACACGCATACACAAACGCAAAGCTCAAAAGAAAACTTGTGTGTGCACTAAAACATTTGAAAAAAAATACGAACTGAAACGCATAAGCCAGCGGCCGAGCAACGCACAGTCCGATGGTAGTGGTAGTGCGCCAAAAATTTGCAAGTGTGAATAAATTGTTTTTTTTGCTCTTGTTTTGATTTACGCTAGGATGCCAACACAACGCCAGAAGCGGAGACGGCGACCAAAGAAAATGCCGCTGATAAGGTAGTAATCGAGTCGAAGGCGCCAGAAAGTACAGAGCCAACTACACCCGATTCAGAGGTAGCTAAAACTGTAGAGAAGGAGAGCGACGCAGCAGCGTCACCCGCTACTGATGACGTCGCTGATAAAAAAACTGTTGGAGACGCAGCGGCTGTGGCCGCGCCAACATTGGATGCAGGTAAATAAAAGAAACAAACTCGCACATTCATACACACACATACTTGAGTCGTATATGTGTACGTGCCTGTATGTTGTGTAAAGAAAGAGCGAGAAAAACAAAATTCATAAAATGAATTTTGCGCGCGTTTCGTAAAATGCGGCGAATAGTATTGCTGACAATTCATTTTCGTCGCTTGCCGTCTTTGTTGCTGCGTTGGCTGTGGCACCGCTGTCTAAAATGCCGCGCACATGTGTGATCGTCTGCGTATGGTGGTTCGAACTCCGCGCAGGGAGTGTGGGTGTTTATGCTCCTTTTCTCTTATCTTAGTTATTAAAAGTATTTATAGAACATCCTTGGCTATTGTTCATGCTAAACCCTGACCAATATGGTTTCGTGTAGTAAAAGCTAAGGTAGATAAAACTTCAATTTCATGGTTCTTTGCGCTCCCAAATCAAATAGCACTGGACTTCCCAAGCTTGAAGACATATATTTCAATAATTTTACCTTTTAAAGAATCCTTTGGAATCCTTTGAATTTTTCTTTTTAATGAATATTATTTCTAGACCATGTGAATTAAAAGATGTATATATGTAATAAGATAATAAATAATACATCGTTTTACAAATTATTTACCATCAGATGAGAAAAAGGACACAAAAGCGGCATCGCCAGCGCCGCCTTCTTCAGCAAAGAAAGTGAATAATGGCGCCAAGAAAAATGCAGGCAAGACTGAGGATGACGAAGATGCAGACGAAGACGAGGAGGAAAGTGACGCGGATCAGGTGGACGATACCCAGGATGATGTCAGCGATGAGGAGAAGAAACCAACAGCCACAGCGGATAAGAAGAAAAATGATGCAACAGATGGTGCTAAGCCCAAGTCTGGATCTGCAGGAGCGGACAAGTCAGCGGTCGGCAAGAAGACTGAATCCAAGGCCAAGAACGGCAAGGTGGAGAAGTCGGACCAAAACGAGGAAGATGACGACGACGCTGACGAGGGCGATGGTCTCGATGAGAACAACGAGGTGGCAGAGGATGACGAGAATGTGGTGGCCCTGGCAGAGATCGATCGCATTAATGAGAATATAAACAAGACGCGAGTCGATGGGCTCCAGGTGCTACATTCGGTAAGTTACTATCGGGGATCGGGGGTCAACATCTAACAAGATTAGGAAGCGTAATGGTTATTTACATTTTTCTATTATAATGTAGCTCTGCTTTGGCGCACAAGGAAAAAACAATGTGGTGAAAAAGAATCTGCGTTCGTTTGCTGGCTTTGAGTTTGCCAAGGATTCGTCGGAATATAAAAAGAAATACGAGTCCATTAAGAAGGTGGACAACAAATCTTTGCGTAGTATCTGCGAAATTCTCACGCTAGATCGCAAGGGCAGCAAGGACGAGATTGCGTCGCGTGTGCTCAAATTTCTGATGGAGCCGGATGAGTCGCTCTGTGTAGAACAGGGTGATGAGGAAGAAGAGGAGGTGGACGATGAAGATGTCGACGAGGACGAAGAGGCCGCCAGCGAAGACGATAAGAAACGCAAGAGCAGTAAGGCAAGCGCAGGCACCGGCAGAGGCTCAGCTCGCAATTCCAGCGGACGTCCAAGACGTGCAACGGCAGGCAAGAGTAAGTGAAGCCCAATCATTCAATGGAATGGACTCTTTGATTCAAACTCTTTGCCTTACTTGCAGAAATGTCTGCATATGTAGATTTATCTAGCTCCGAGGAAAGCGAGCACAAAGTGACAGTGGCTAAGCGGAGACGGAATGATGACTCCGAATCCGGCTCAGATGTAAGTTAGTTTATTATGTAGCTCCTCAGTCCAACCCACATTTTTTTCTGCTTGCAGTACAATCCTTCGGGAAACTCAGATTCTGATGCGGGGCGCGGCGGCGGCGGGGCTGGTGGAGCAGCTGGAGCCGGTCGTAAGCTCTCAGCACGGGGCAGTCGCGGACGACCCGCTCGTAAAAGTCGTCGAAGAAATTCAGATTCCGAAGACGAAGAGGAATCAGAGCTATCAGATGCAGATAGTGATGTAAGTCCTTTTTTTCAGATTAGCTTCTTTAATAAATTTCTAATGGCATTCGCTCTGTTTCAGCAGGTGCCGAAGCGCAAGCGACCGGCTACTGGAAAACGTGGCCGTTCCGCTGTGACCACTCCAGCTGGTAGACGAGGACGTGGGCGAGGCGCTTCTGCGCGAAAGCGCAAGGACTCTGAGAGTGACGAAGAAGAAGTATCGGAGGATGAAGAGGAGGAGGAAGTGTCTGAATTTGGCAGCGAACAAAGCGAGGTAAGTAAACCAACTAAAAGGATTTACGACAGGAACATAAACAAACAACTTTTTAATCTCGTAGGAGGAACGTCCCAAAAAGAGTAAGAAGCCAACAACGCCTGCGAAAAATAGCAAAGCCAACAATAAGTCAAAACCAGCTGGAAAGGGTAAAGCATTATCGAATGTTGATAGATGAAGTCATACTAACATACTCTCTTTGTACATAGCCGCTGGTCGACCGAAGAAATCAAAGAAAGAAACGTCCGAGGAGGAAGATGCTGACGACAAAGATGAGTCCGATGAGGATGAACCATTGAACAAAAAGGGCAAATTAGCATTCCCAACGGTAAGAAAGCACTTATATTGTTAATTATATATATACTATATATATTTTCACTATTTTTAATTCCCCTTGCAGGACGAGCAAATACGCGGCTATGTCAAAGAAATTTTAGACAAGGCCAATCTCGAAGAGATTACTATGAAAACAGTGTGCAAACAAGTCTATGCCAAGTACCCAGATTTCGATTTAACAGACAAGAAGGATTTCATAAAGGCGACAGTTAAAGCGGTAGGTGATGTTGCATGTAAGAGGATACAAGTCTTCTAAATCTTCTGTCTCATTATAGTTAATTGCAACATAAAACTACACAAAAACGGAGGCAATGGAGCCTGGGGATGGGCCAGCAAGCAGTAAAACTTGTAACTTGCACACTAACAACAATACAACAAGCGACCGCAAAGCAAATATATTTTGCCACTTTTTGAGAGCTGCTGCGACAACAAAGAATTAAATCTAGTTTTCCTATAAGCGTATAATTTGTACTCTTTAAAACCAACTAAAACTCAACCTTGAACGGATTATGTCCTTTTTCTATTGTGTACTAGGAGGCGTTATCCATATATATGCATGTGAATAATGTATATATGTAAACGTAATTTGTAAACACTTTATATTCATTTTCTTTATGAATACCAGCGCTCTCAAACGGCTCTACAAAAAGTGTGTAATTTAAGCAAAACCGAAATAGAAAAGAAAAGAAACTTGTAAAAACCTATAAACACACAATTTATACATTTAAATGTAGTGCTGATTGATTTGACGTTCAAAATTATGTATTTTAAATTAAGCAAAGAGGATAAATAAAAACAAAAAGATTATCTAAAATTCACACACTGGCAGCAGTACAAAGACCGAAGCATGGAAAACTTGACAAGTCAAAATTCAAAATTTATAATATTGAGATATATTGCACACGTTTCGGCTATGTTAAAACTAATAAAATATTTGGAATTAGGAGAGAAGGGCAGCAAATTCACTGGGAATAATGCCTTTAAAAATGCAAAATGCACAACTGCAGGTATCAAATTGAGAAATTTCGCAGGCAAAAGTTCGAAGTATTTGTAAAATATGTACGATTGCAAGTTTTGATATTATTGCGATTTCGTTTGATCATTGTGATGAGGACGTGAACTACTTGAGGAGACTTGAAATGGCCAGTTTTTTTTTTTTAACTCTCAAACGATTGTTATAATAAGTATAAACTTATGTATGATTTCCACTATAACAAGTTTCTGTCCTTTTAATTTATCCCAAGTACTTTGGCTTTGATAATAGATTGAAGGCAGAACTAAAGCAGGTTTCTCTTGCAGAGCGGCAACACACAACTAGGATTCACACACCAGACACACCCAAAATATAATATGCATGATAAATGAAGTGCATCGTAGGAATAATCTTGCGAATTTAATGTATGTACATTTTAAAGAAAAAAAAAACCAGGTTCAAAACAATGCTTTGAATCCACTCCCATACATAAATACAAGCATCTCAATGTACGTTTCTTGTAGCAAAAAAGAAAACTTTGAAAAACAAATGACAAAATAACTAAAAAAAAATAAATAAAAGAAACAAAACTCGATGTGCGTTAAAATGCAAATATACAGACATATATAAAGAATATATATATATATATATATATATATATATATATATATATATATATATATATATATATATGAAAAAGAAGAGTTTACGAGGATCTTACAACAAAGTTGGATAAAATTTATTGAACGCTCTCTCTCTATAGAACAGAAATTAACTTAACCGTAAACCGCATGCGTCCCAATTGGATGCCTAGATATAACACGATATTTTGTTTTATCTTTAAATGTTTCGCTGTGGAAATAAAGACGGATGACGTATATATGTATATCAACAATATATTGCGAGAAAATAAAGTGAAGTATGCCTTTTATTTAATGGGCTACGGAAAGTATTTGGGACCAGGATATTGGGTTGCTTCATATGAGTTCATAAACTATGGTAAAACTGCCAAACTTGGTGGAACCTTTAAACAAAAAACCGTTTCTATTTTTTTCAGATAGTAATTTATTGAGAAATTTAAAAATGCAATATTCGGCAATATTTAAAATAATCGTTGTAATATACTTATGTATGTAGTTTATGATTATGAGAGGGATTAAAGGTAAATATGTCAATTTAACTGGTTAAGTGGATCACGCGTATAAGGCTGTAACATAGATATATGATATCAATTTTCGATTTTGAGGGGGTTAAGTCCATTAAAGAAAACAAAATTATTTGTTCAAAATTTGTAAAAAATGAATGTTAGGTTTAAATGCATAGAATAGAATAGAATATAAACGGACTTTTTTCTCAATTGGCCCTGGAAATAGATCAAAGCACATAATTTAAATCAAATATAAAGAAATATATATCAATTTCAAAAATATCATTTGATTGCGAACTAAACGGCTTGATATTGACCCAAATTTTATGGCAAATGGATTTCGATGGGTTGTACAAAAGTCAGATACATTAAAATAGAAATGTAGTCGCTTTCTGTATATACTTACCACAATTGCAGATTATATACAGTCTTTCTGGTGCCGGATCACTAAAATTGAAAGAAATAAACAACTTCCCCATCCCATCAAGAAAAAAGAAAAGTATCTATGCTAAATCAATATTCAAAGCGAGCTGCTTCAATGAATTCTGAGATTAGAAATTGACGGCAATTGTTGATCTTCCAAAAAATATTGCCTTTCAATAGAGCTTTACACCGTTGCTTATGGAACATTAAAATGTCAATATCAATAATATTTATATACATACACATATTAATATAAATAATACTCGTTATTTAAGGGTAATATAAACCGCACAGATCGCAAACAAATGATATCTTGAAACCATATATACTAATATACAAATATTAATCGTGGAGATTGAGTTTTTATATTATAAATAGATATAATCAATATTTCAATTAGTTTGGAGGCTCATACGTGACGCTACTTTGGGGGTAGTACAGCGTGGAAAATCGTTGTGGTTGGCTATTGAAATATATAGAGAAATATACATGTCACATATGCATTGGATGTAATATATGTACAAATATAGAATGTATATATAGAGAATATCAGCAATATACGAGTACATGTGCATAAGATATGGCATTTAAAATATGTATAGAGAAGTAGTATATTCAAAATGTTTCAAGGTATAAGTATTCATAGACCTGCTACATACCCAAGAATTAACGACAGCGACTGAACACAAAACCAAAAGCCCGGCCCTAGATCCCATCCAACTCAGCGCCTCTGAAAATACGCTCAGAAACGATTTTCATATATGGCATAAGACGTTGAAAACAAAATGCAAAAATATAATAAATAGAAACGCATAAGTTGCATACTACGTACATGGTAAATGTACGTCGTATTTTAGTAATGGGTTTATATAAATATAATAATATATTATAGTCATTATGTGTTTATTCAATGTATCGAAGGCTGCTGCGAAAGAGATTAATAAATCTTGCAACACGCCCACTTTCTTGTACAAATATTCATTAGAAAGGGTGCATATCATTTTCAGCAGTTGCAACATTAATGTTCTTTTTGTTTTGTTTTTCGTTTTAAAGAGACATAAAACTTAGGCTATTTATTGCATATAAATATATATTTATAATGTTTCATAATTGCAGACCTACGGTATATGGTTCACTCATTAAAATGTTTATGGTTTCAATTGTAAGATTCGTAAGACACAATACACAATAATAACAGAAGATCTTACCAAGTTGCACGCTTTTACTTTACTATCATATATTTATTATATATATATATATATTACTTTTTATTCGTTTTCATAAGGTTTTCGGTTATGTTGTAATTGTTATGAACTGGTTTGAAGATGCCTGGATTAACAAACGGCCTCTGAAAGTACATACATGTGGTGCATGTGCATAATATACATACGTATTCAAATATTCAAATACATACACATACTCAAAATATTATCGAAATAAGTGAACTTGTTTATGAGCATTTCTTTATACCACAACTTATCATTTAAGATCTTACCAAATTCTAGGTACAAGTTTGTGAATTAAAAAAAAAAGATAAAGAAAAGAAAAGATATATAACAAATGCGCCAACGGATTGCAAAGAATTCAGACAGGACAAGCATTAGAGAGCATGGAATCTGCGTTGGGCCCCTTTGTAGGTTAATTGTATGGGTGCTGCCTAAGAAGTTGCTTCAAATCGAACTGAAATCAAAATGATGACTTAAAGCTATATAAAGAATCATATGGGTTTCTCCTCAACGGGAATATTAAATTAAAAAATTGTAGTAATTGAGTAACAAAGGTTTAACAACAGTTCAACAAACCAGTATCATCCAAGAGAAAAAAAAAAAAAACATATTCCTAGGCATTTTTTGTTCAATGTTTAAGTTATATAAGACCATTGGCAATTTTACAGGTTGAAATTCTTACCAGATCAGTAGAGACGTTGATCGTAGTATTTAATATTATAATATATGTGAAGGTATAATGTTATATGAATGCATTAGAACTAAGCTAAGTTAAAATGTATGAGAGAAACGTTTTGCGGTATCAAAAGGTAGGTCATATTTTGTATATATGTTTATTTGTTGTCTTTCAATCAACACACTCCAGCGTGGACATAGTTAAACATGTGCATTGGCTAGTTTGCAGCAGCTCTCGAGATGCCTAAATTGACGACGAAAGAGATGTTATGCGTGTGAAATTATATGCACATACATAATTGTGAATCTATATATATATATATACATATATATATATGTTTTTGTATGCATATATATAAATAGCAATTTGTGTATTGTCCCAGAAGTTGTGTATCTGAACCTGGACAGCAACAGCATTATTTTCGTTAATCTCTCTTTTTTGTTGTCATAGAATTAATATTTCAGGCAAAGTCACTTAAAGTCTAAAGTAAAATTATAAGTAGAAAAGAAACCAATGTAATTGGCATATAATTAATATATATAATAAATTTACATTTTTGCAAAGCGCGACGCTTCAAGCTGCAAGTGTGCAAATTGATTGATTGACTGTTTGTTTGATTGATTGATTGATGGTTGTCTTGACTGTTGGAGCTCGTTGATATTCTTCTCGCTCAGCTGTTTGCGCTTCAATTAATTTTTGCTAATTTATTGGGGATAAAAGACATAGGATAGTAGAACAATTCAAATGATTCACTGCAAAGAGTTTTACGCATGGTAAACAAGATTTCGTTAGGTTTTCATACATAGTTAAAAGGTATTTAAATACATAAGTAAGTATATTGTAATAATACAAAAATTCACAAAGTATGGATCAAAATATAAACAGGCAAGAGAAAGAAAGCAAAGCAAAAAGCAAATATAATCAAGGAAATTCAAGGCAGCAAAGGCAGCAACACGTAGTCTACCTGCATATTCAAATATGTCTCGACATACTTTCGAGTCGAGTTCGAGTACTCACCATTTCAAGGCACCCGCATCTGTTTCAGTCCCCTCAATGTTTGTCGTTTTTATGTGATTTCTGCTGCTGCTGACCCGGTCCGCCGGCAGGGCCGCTTGGATAGCCGCCATAGGCACCGCCCGGATAGCCGCCTGGATATCCAGCTGGTGGGCCTCCGCCCTGACCACCTCCACCGCCAGCTCCGCCGCCCTGGGGCTGTGGCGCCCCTTGCGGATGACTCGCAGCAGCCGCTGCAGCATAATACTGTGAATATTGTGCATATTGGCTAGGAGTCATACCTTGGGCATAGCCACCGGCCGCTGCAGCGGCGGCTGCTGCTGCAGCTGCCGCAGCTGCTGCATTGGGCTGTTGTTGGTTTGGATTTGGACCGCCTTGATTCGGATTGGGCGCATTATTGTTGCCGCCAGCGCCGGCTCCGTTTTGCTGCAGACGCCATTATTAATATAAATTAATTTATAAGTTAAAATTAAATGCTATCATTAATGAAGTTGCAATTACTACACTTAAATTAGTGGCTTAAGCATTACAAATTCCGCAATATATTACGCATAGTTTGGAGAATTTTTCTTACCTTAGTCTTGAGAGTCTTTTCAATAGCTTCTGCCTCCTCGATCTTGCCCACACTGCGATAATATTCTGCCCACTGTGCGCTGTAATCGGCACCACTGCCACCACTTTGTTGTTGTTGTTGCTGCTGCTGCTGGGGTTGCTGCTGTTGTTGTGGAGCCTGCTGACTGGGGCCTGGAGCGCTGGCCGCCAGCTTAGCCTTCATCTGCTGTTCAATCATCTCTGCCTCGCGATGGCAGCCAATTTGCCTGTAATTCCAAGGTTTTGTTGGTATAGGTATGGGCATGAGCTCTTGACAACTTACTTGTAGTACTCAATCCACTGAGCTGAGTAATCTTGACCGCCTGCACCAGCAGCGGCACCTGCCTGGCCCTGCCCTGCTGCCATAGCCATTTGTTGCTGTTGTTGGGCAGCGGCTGGATCCCAGCCGCCCTGTTGTCCATATGCGCCCCAAGGTTGCTGCTGTTGTTGCTGGTAAGCAGCTGCCGCGGCTGCGTTGGGGTCGCCACCCTGCATCTGGTTGCCGCCGTAACCGCCGGGCTGTTGATTGTGATGGGCATTGTTGGCGCCACCGCCACCACCAGCACCTCCACCTCCGCCGCCGCTAATGGGCTTCCGCGACAGCACCGTCAACTCCATGTTGATCTTTTCGGATATCATTTGACGTGCAGCCTCCACCTGATCGGTGGTGCCCTTGGACTTGAAGAGCTTCTCGTTGGGCGGATTGCTGGCATTGCGATCCATTTCTGTGTGGGCCCCTGACTGCTGATTGATGAGCTTAATAGTCTCGCCACCGCGTCCAATGACAATCTACCAATACAAGAAGTTCATCAAATAGCGTTCACTGGATGCATATAAATTTTGTAACTTACGCCGCATTTAGAGGCGGGCACCAGAAACGTAATCTCTTCGCGACCGCCCTGCGCATGATTCACGCCGTACCCATAGCCATAATTGGAATTGTTTGAATCACCACCACCTTGGCTGCCGCCGCCGCCGCCTCCTCCATTGCCATTGCGATTCATTCCGTTGCGTTGCTGTGGATTAAACATGCAAGTGTTATTACCTGAATATACTTGAGAAAAGCGATAAACTAAAAAAGCCATAAGTTATCGGAGTGTGAAACTTTAAATTCGGACCTATTTAATTTATATTTCGTGCTTCAGTTTCATACCACGATATACTATAGCTTCATATGTCAAGTCTCTACAAAACAGCCAGCTAGATTGGATGGTAATATGTATGTTTCCCATGCTCAGGATCAGTAGTGAATGCGTATATTGATTTGGGTTGCTTCTTACCATCACATTCTCGATAAGGCCATCAATGGTGCGCTTGGCATCCTCCACCTGTTGGCGCGTGCCCTGGATGACGCAGCGCCGATCTCCCATCTCATCGTTTTTGCCTTGGATGAACTGCAGCTTGCAGCCGCATTCAGTTTGAATTTTACGTATCATATCGCCGCCCTTTCCAATGACCACGCCCACAGCTATTTTGGGCACAAAGACCTCTACGCTTTCGCCGCCGCTGCCATTGTTAAAGTTATTGAAGCTTTGGTCGGAGCCACCGCCACCAGTGCCACCACCACTACGTCCGCCCTGCTGCTGCTGAGCCAGTGCATCCTTTTGGGCGATCAGATCTAAGACCATTTGCTTAGCGTGCTCGACCTTTTGTGGTACCCCGGAAATGCGAAGTGGCTTGATAACTTCCTGATTGGGACCATCCTGAATGATGATCATGCGGGCGCCGGTTTTTTCCTGCAGCTGCTTAATAGTATCGCCGCCCTTGCCAATGACCAGACCCACCTTTGCGCCAGGAATCATAATCTCCTGGTACGGCGGATAGCCCCCGGGACCCGGCGGCGGCATATTAATGGTTAATAGCACCTCACAGGTACCATTGCCGCCACCGCCGTTTCGATTGACCATCTGCTGCAGCATTTCGCGTCCTTTTGTGCAGCTCTCGCGTGTACCGCGCAATGTTATAACCCGCTCTTGATCCTGCATCAGTTCAAGTTTAGCACCGGACTCAGCTTCCAGGTGACTAAGCGTATCGCTGCCGCTGCGTCCCACAAATGCGCTAACTATGCTCTCGGGTATGCGCACCTGCTCCTCACAGGTGGACGCCGGCCAGGCGGCCAAACGCGCTGCAACAGCGGCTGCCTGCGCAATGGCTTGGGTCATATTGGCGCCACTGCCACCACCACCGCCACCGCTGCCACTGCTCATGTTCGAGTTATTTTGGCCGTAGTCAGGACTGCCAAATGAACGTTTGCAGTCTGGTCCGCTATCGCCGTCGTCGTTATGTCGCTTGAAGTTGTTGGTGCTGCCTCCGCCTGCGGATGGGCCACTAGTGTCGCCTCCACCACCTCCCTGTGACTGCTGCTGCTGACTTGGTTGTATCTTTGCAGCAATCTGCTCAAATACAACAATAGAACAGTTACTTTTATCGTTAATGGCGCCTTTTTCCGATTCGGCCGTACAAACAGCTCCTAGGCAATGCTTTGCTTCTTCTTACCTGCTTGGCACGTTGTATGGCAGCTGCCAAAGCCTGCGATTGACTTAAACTCGCCTGCTGCGTCTGAAAGTCACTCATGTTTGCAAATATTTCCGTCCCAAGTGCTTTTCGGCTGCTTCTGTTAGTCTTTTTAGTCTAAATGAACAGTCCACGCCCCGTTATTTTCGCAAAAACGCCGACGCAAGCTGACGACGTGCAACTTGAAAATTCAATAACGAAATGCACTGGAAACCGGAAAAGGCGTGTTTTCACTTAATTTCTTTAAAATTTTACGTCGCGTTGAATATTTCTTACAAAACACCAGCGCAAACCTTTGGCTAATTTTTTGGACTAACAATTATTACTATTGCTTCAGCTTTCTTGGTTTTTTTCGGTGAAAATTATGCGCCCCAAAATGCGTACATAGGGATGCTTAGTTTCCAACACTTTTTGATATGTTTTCCAGCACTGCACGGCAATGTGGCTGCAATAATATCGATAACTATTATGTGTACATCGCTGTTTTGATTAAAAACACCAATGGAAATCTAGTATTTGTAAGAAAAAACGTAACTAAATCATCACATGTGTTACAAATTTTAAATAAAAACTGTGATATTTTTATAAACAAAACTTTTTTTGCCATCCCTAAAAATGTCTTAAAATGATCGCATGCTTACCGATATTCATAGCTAAATACATCGCATATGAGTCGATATAAGTTTATGACACAGCAGATTAATTTACTGCATAAATGGACATGGGCTATTTGTATACATCTCGCTTGAGATTGCTTACAATTTTTAATTTCCAAATACTATAATACATTAAGCTAAGAATTAAAATAGTTCATTTGAACTGAATGAACGAGAATAAAGTGTTCACTTTAGCGATTTGCTCAAGCGAACAACTCTACCTTATTCCCAGTATTTTCGTTCCCATTGTTTTGCTGCAACTATTACAGGTTTCTGTAACAAAAACAGCTGAACTTGGTTCGCTCAAGCAAAGTACTTTACATATTCCAAAAGTGAGCTTATAATAAACATAAGTAACTAATTCTGCATATTACTAAACAACCTTATAATTCAGAAGCGTGGAACATAAACAAAAATAAAATGCCCGTTGACTGGTTTGGTTATGTATACGCTGCCACAGTTGCCGCTGGCGGAATTATGGGCTATGCAAAGGCTGGTGAGTTGCGAGTTAATAAGACTTAACATTGTGCAATTAACTAAAACATCAATTCTGCCAACCAGGTTCTATACCATCGCTCGGAGCGGGCGTTGCTTTCGGCGCATTGCTTGGCTATGGCGCCCACTTAAACTCGCAGGATCCACCACGCCCGCTGCTCCAGCTGGGCACATCGCTCTTCTTGGGCGGACTGATGGGTGTGCGCTGGAATCGGTCCGGCAAGCTAATGCCAGCTGGAATTGTGTGTGTGCTTTCTGTCGCAGCTCTGGTCAAGAACTTGGTCACATATAATCGTTACTTGCCAATGCCCACGAAGGGCGCCTAAACACAGAACAAGTCTGGATTGCTGCTGAGCTTGCCGAGAATTTTTTGTACAATTTTAATTTTAATGTGGTTTTTTTTTGCTGGATTTGAAACAAAATGTGAATGGTGTATGGGACTTATGTACAAGTAAGAGATGTCAAGCTGAGCTACTCGACTAGCAGATACCCTGTAGCTTTTAAATTGTTCTATACAATTAATAAAGTTTGTACTTAAACTCTATTTCTACTCTATATATGCATACTGCATTATATTCCTTTATGGATATTTATTAGATATAATGTTCTCTTATGATATAAAATGTATAGGATAGGAAGATTTTCTCGTGCTAAACTACCTCTGCGAAATATTTAAAGGGTATAGCTGCGATAAGATAGAGTAAGCTTCTGCCAACAGTTTGTTAATGCGTAGCATGTTTTTGTTCGTTTAATAACATTCTTTGAATCATAGCACAATATTTAAAAAACATCTGTAAAAACTAAAACAATAGCAGAATATTTAATAATTTTTTGAATGATTTGAACCGGCGAATCCGCTTGCTAGTTCGACACTCAAACATCAAAGGCACTCGTCTCGTGCAAGCTTTGACCTCCTTGATCCATCAAGATGAGGTCAAGTTCTTTAAAGAGCACCAAAATTGGAGCCTTTATTCAAATTAAGATTCTGGGATCTTTCTTGAAGGTTTGGCAGCTGTTCCTTTACCATATTCTAGAGCCTTCAACTATACTCAAAATAATCTCCGATTCCAGGTCTTCGAGAAAGGGTTTCATATTTGCGTATGCTTCGTCTAAACTATATATATATATATTTATGTATATGTATGTATTTATTTTCATATATAGATTTCTTAAATTACATTTCTGTTTGTGTGTATGCGTGTGATAAATGTACAGTTTCACTTTATATGATTTCCAGTTGTTTACATCTAGAACTTAGGCATTATTATTAAACTACTTGATGCTTATATAAGGTAATGCAATTTTAAAAATGTTTGATCGCATTAACAATGCACAACTTTTCTACATTTAAATACAACAATGTATGGGATTGTAAGTTTTCTAGTAGGCAAAGTGCGGCTAGGTAAGTTACGAATTTGTTCAGGTTTTCATCAATTTTCTAAAAAAGATAAATATTGTTAGTTAAGTATACAAATTATCTTTTATCACAATGGAAAATTGGAAATCTTTAGGAATAATTTATCAAATCGTTTGTTTTTCTTTTAAATACAAAAATGAATGCGTATGTATGAATTTTTTACAAAAACAAATATTATATACAAAACATTATACTGTTTTTTTTCTTTTTTTTTTTTAATTAAATTATACATAACATAATATATGTTTTGTTCATGCTTTTCTTTTCTTTTCTTTTTTTTTGCCACATACTGGTGTTTGCAATTATACAAAAAATGTTCACTTAGTTGGGTGCGTTGTTTTTTAACAGGAAATATTTTAAATTAGTTGCAGCTAAAACTAAAAACAAATCAATAGTAATCATAATATTAATAAAAATAAAAAATTCTATCTAAAAACACGATTTGCTGCAAACTGCAAACAAGTATTTGTTAAAATTTTAATGGCAATAACCAAACCGACGTGTGCCAATTCCAAACGTTCATCCGGAGGTGGCAGTGCTCTAAAACGGAAACAGCTTCCAGTTAACCACTAGGAGAGGGAGAGAGAGGCCGCAAGAAAACGAAACAGAAGATAACTAAATTAATAAAATGTGTAATCAAAGTGAACTGCATAAATGTTAGGCGTGCAAATATGACAAATGTTTGCAGTTTTTGGTTTAATGGTCTGAAAAGTATTTGCCGACGCCGCCAGACGCCGCCAGACGCCTTTGCGGGTGTGTACTGTATGTGCCACCATATTTAATTTAACCGTTAAGTTTTGTTCCACATTCCATGCGTTTCCAAGAGCCAAATTGTTTTTTTTGTTTGTTTTCGAATTTGCTTTTCTTTATATTGTTGCGATTGTTGATTTTAGTATGCAAAATGCGTTTTGTTTATTGTTTAGTTCATTTTACGCCATGCCATTTGAAAATTTTCCAAAGAGTTGAATCAAATAGATAACTTAATTTCTATGCTTTTATAAGTTCCGAATTCCTGTTGATGCGTGTATATGTTTTATAATTTGTGTGTGTGTGTGTGCGCGTGTGGGTGTATGTGGGTGGAAAAAGTGTGTGTTTTTGTGTGAATTACCAATTTGTTTCTGCATTGGTTTGTAATATGTATGTAAACTATGTAATTTGGAGAGACAGAGCCAGAGAGAGCATTAGAAATTTGAAGATCGAGATAGCAGCAGTTGAATGGTTTGTATCAGCGATGAGTTTCGAGTTTTGATAGCGAATGAAAAATATCTGGGCATATGTGAAAAGCCTTAATGAAAATTCCATGAAGATGTCAAAAATAGCGCGCGAGCTAATGCATATTATGGATGCTAAATTTCAGGCATCTGATCAATTTGTTTTTTTTAAGTAATCTTGATACTTTTGGCATAATCAAAATAAGTTTTTTTTATAAATTATTACAAGAAATAATACTGTAATTGTTCATGCTAAGAGCTACGTTTCAAGCACTACTTTGCGGGCCACTACTAAGCGGCCCATACTACTTTTTTAATGTATATTTATTTTCTTAAAATGTGCTAATAAGTAAAAGGGATCAAATGCCATATGGTCGAGTATGCAGTCATGCGCCAAATGCTTAATATAGGTTCGATATTACAACTAAATGGCCAATTACGAATGCGTATTGGTAACTGTAAGCCGCAATAACCGATTATATATGTCTAAAGTATAGCAGGCAGCAAATACCACTAGGTTTTAGGATATGTTCCATTTTCATTGTTTTTTGAAGTTTTTAGCGAAGCTTTTTAGACTACGAATAAACTGTTGGGTTGCTTGTGTTGTTCTTACCGCACGAAGTAGCAAAACACACGAATCGATTTTGAGAGACCGTCGAGAGGACAATTTTGTATCTGTTTGCATGTGTGCGTGTAACTGTACGTCTGTGTGTGTGAGTGTGTGTGTTGTGTGTGTGTGTGTGTATCAGAGGTATGCAGAGGCGTTACAGTTACGACTGGTTCGTTGGCAGTGTTGGACAGTTGTTTAGTAGTAGATTTGGCAGTGTTGCCGCCAATTTTGATGCTCCTGTTATGAGGCCTTTTTCCGCTCTACATGACTCGTGTGCGGCGTATCAGTTTTTGTGTTTTGATTTTGGGTTTTTTGTTGGTGCCATTTGATGACTGTTGTTGGGGTTGTTGTTGTTGTTGTTGTATGGCTGTATTTGATGTTGTTGTTGTTGTTGCTGTTATTGTTGTTGTACTTGGTTCATTGTCCAACACCGTTGGCAAATTGTTGGTATTGTCGCCAATGTAATTTGTCGCATATGCGGGCGATGTCAATTGTTGTTGTTGTTGTTGATGTTGATGTTGTTGCAGCTGTTGCTGACTATAGTTATGACTATTGCTACTAATTTTATTACTACTATTTTTGTATGTTATAATACTACTGCGATTTAGCGTACGTTTTAGAAATGGGCTGGCATCAAAGTTTTGTTGTTGCTGTTGCTGTTGTCTTTGTTGCTGTTGTTGCTGTTGTTGTTGTTGTTGTTGTTGTTGCTGTTGTTGCTGTTGTTGTGTGCTGCCCGCTTTTGTTGCTGATGAGCTTACGGATGTGGACACCGAGGTGGTGGTGGCTGTCACTGCACCATCCAGTGTTGGTAAATGCAGTGCTTGGAATTTCTTAAAGTATGCATCGATTATCGATGATGTTGTTTTCGATTTTGTAGTGCTTGTTGTTGGCGTTGGCGTTGCTTTGGCAGCTGTTGTTGCGGCTGATGCTGTGCTTGTCGTTGTTGTTGGTTTTGCCAATTGTTGTTTTTGTTGTTCTTGTTGTAGTTGTTGTTCTTGTTTTTGCTGTTGCAGTGTTGTCAAGTGTCTTGGTTGCTGTTGTTGTATGTGAAACTTACGTTTTTGCCGCTCAATCGCTTCATTGATCTCAATGCCGGCATTGTCATCATTTTCATCATCAGCCAGTTGTTGTCGCTTGTTGCTTTCCTCGCTGTTGTTGCTGTTGCTGTTGCTGTGGTTGTTGTTGCTGTTGCTGTTGCCATTGTTGTTGCTGTTGGTGGTGGCACTATAATTTGTAATTTGTTTTTGTACCAAGGGAATTGAGAAATGTTCATTGGACGATTGTTGTTGTGGTTCTTGTTGCTTATGTGTCGTTTTTACTTGTTGTTGTTGTTGTGTTTGTCTCAAGTGTAAATAGTATACGATATGTTTTCGTAGTTCATTTGTATAAATTTGAAATAGATTCGGTGTTTGTGTTGTTGTTGAGAGTTTTGTTGTTGTTGGTGGAGGTGTTGTTGTTGATGTGTGTGACGCACTGCTGCTGCTGCTGCTGCTGCTGCTGCTGAAGCTTCTGCTGGTGTGTGTTTTGACCATAACTCCACCATTTTGTAGCCAATGAGCTTCCGCATTGAGCAATGCGAAGTTTTCAGGACTCTCAGTGGTGTACAGTCGGCGCAAATACTCAAAGGATTTGTTACGCCCAGTCTCTGTAGTCCTTGTCAATGTTCTTGCAGTTGTTGTTGTTGTTGTTGTTGTTTTTGTCGCTGTCAAATTGCCAACGGCAGCCGCAGCAGCTGCAGCGGCAGAGCTTTGCTGTATGTTATTGTCCTCCTGCTCCTCACTACTACCGATGCCCTCGGCCTGGTCATCTTGCTCTTCATTATCGCTTGGAGTCTCATCTTCTTGGGATTCGATTTCTTCACTACTGTTTTCAACGTCTTCTGCCGATTGGCTGTTTGCATCGTTTGTCTGGCTGATTTTACTAATGTGTTGTTGTGTTTTTTGTTGTTTGGCATTTGTTGTTTGTTTGTTTGTGATTAATATTTTGATTTTATTGTTGTTGTGTTGTTGTGGGTGTGGTTGTAGGTTGTGGATTGTTGTTGTAGTTGTTGTTGATATTTGTAAAGGTGTAAAAGGTTTGCATATTAAATTATGATTTTTGTGTGTTTTTCTTTGTACTCAAAATACATAGTTTCGTATTAAAAATCATAAATCAAACTCTAAACTTATACAACCAACTACGAAAGATTGTCTTTAAGTGAAAATCGTACTTACTTGTATACTAAACGGTAATTGTTTCCATAGTCTGGTATTATGTTGGACGGCAGTGGGGTGCAACGACCATCCAGACAGTGCTAAGGTGTGAGATTAAGAACAGCAAAGAGCTCAGTTTATGTGCTACCCATGGGGAGGCAGAAGTTGAGTCGTTCTTTTCGCATACTTACGTAACCATTACCACATGCGGAACCCTCCGCTGCTGGCCTGTAGGCAACACAGTAGCCCGTCTGTGCATCAAAGCAGAAGAGCTGGGCGCAGACACGCTCGTCCTTGAAGCAGGCGTAGGTGCCGCGATCTCGCCGGCACTGCGCATCCAGGGAGAGCAGTGTACCAGGCAGAGACCTACCCAAAGCGCTGTCCTCATGCGGTGCATTGTGCAGGCAGGTGGCGGTATCCCCACTGTGAATGCAGATTGGATGCAGGACTTCAAAGAAGGCTAACGGCATATAACTCACTTGAGGAAGTGGTGGAAGCTCTGCACGGTGCAGGCGGACCAGCGGAAGCCGCGCTCCGTATGACGCAAGTCGGACATTATGTAGCCATCCTCCCAGCGGCAGCGCTGTGCACCCGGTCCGCCCAGATAGCTGGGCGGTGGCGAGCCGTCGTGCACGGCTCCCAATCTGCAAGCAAGGGGAGAGTATTTCAGGCTTTGAGACTGGCCATTTGATTGAGTTGCGGGAAAATCGACAAAATGTTAATTGACTAATTGCACGCCGAATGATGTCAAACGGAAATGCAAAACACGTTTTCAACTCCAGTTGCCAACTCGTTGCGGTCATGCGCCGGAAATTGATGCTGTTTTCTTTTTCTTTTTTTTTTTGATATGTCTAATGGACTTGGCGTTAAATAGAGTGGAAGTAGAGTGCCAAAACATCCAAGCCAAAACGATAAGCAGTTCCGTTTGACAACTGACACTGGAACCGTGGCCAAAACTAGCCCTCTGACTGGGCCTACCTGTTACTTGGGTACTTACAAGTGCCCCACCTCGTGGGCAGCCACAATGATGCCGCTGAAGCCGCCGGTGTCCTCGATGATGGCTACGCTGTTCACCTTCTCCAGCCGCTTGTTAACCACGCAGGCGCCGCCAACATAGGCAAAGCCTGTGGGCCATATGCATATGGCGAAAATTAGAAAATTATTTGGGCAATTAGCTTGGTCTGCCAACGGGAAGTTGACAATTTTTAGTTTAGCTAACGACTATTTGTTGTAGTCGCTACTTGTTGACGCAGTTATTAAATACAAAAATTAAAAGCCGCTTTAGGATTTTGCAATTGGTGTTTACTTTCAAAATTTCGATATGGCCTAAACGGCGTTTATTTTTCATATAATAACTGCCTTTGGAATAAACATATGTTTGTGTGTATACTCCATGTGTGCCATATTGCATGATTTAGGTTCATAATAGCTTTGATGATGTGAACAATCCACCAGTTAGGAGATATAGGTAATTAATACATAGTTAAAATTTAGTAACAATTGCCTTGAACAAAAACCAGTCAAGTCACAAGCCCAAGCCCAAAACCAAAACCAATATAAATATAGAGCATAAGCAAAATTATGTTAAACCTTAAAAGCCATATAAGAACCGGAAAACTATTGTAATGTTATTAATTTATTTTAAAATTTAATTATCTAGAACTTAACAAAATTTAATTAAATATAACTTCTTAGTAGACCCTAAATTGGTATACAGGCTATTTCAGTATTTGCAGCGGGATATTCACAAATAGCTAATCCGTATTTACATTTGGTATAGATTCCCGTAAAGTGAACGCAAAAAACTTATACAAATTGTAAGCTTAGAAATATATATCACAACAGATTCGTGCCCTAGGCATAAGTACACATACATACATATAGCACAGTGGTACGAAAACGTTTAAAGAACAGATAAAAATGAAGAAATCATTTCAAGCAAAAGACGCAGAATACATATGTACACATGCGTACATAAAGAAATATAGAAAGTAAGGTAAATTGTACAGTTTGAGGAGCATTGCCGAGCAGAGTCAGGCTTTGAGGTTATGTTTGCATTTAAGAGGCGCATGCGCACAGACTCCCTGCTCCTGCCGCAGAGTTGTTTATAGTTCTTGTTTGCTGTACAAAATCGCGTGCGACACAAAACACATAAATTAAATTCACGCAAAAAAGTGAATAGAGTAAGTAGAGAATACAAATATAGACACAAGTAAGAAGAATAAATAAGAGACAAAGAGACGTGCATGAAATTCAATTAAATTGGCTTGAGTTTAGATGATGGAGCGACGCTTTAGGTTCGGTTCGGCGGTTGCCGCCTTTAATGTTATTTTGCTTCTTTTTTTTTTTTCAAGTCAGCGTATTGGATATTTTCGCATTTATCTGTACATTGTCAGCGAACAAATTGTGGTAGTTGCTGTAGTTGTTGTTGTTATTATATTTTTACCTGCGGTACCGCGATTACATTCACCAAATGCGGAGGTGCGACGGCACATATCAAGTCTGCGGGCGAAAATGTTTCAAAATGCGTAGATTTGAGTATGGATTCGATTTCGTTGCTTCGTTTCTTAGATACATATGTGGAGCACTATGTACATAAATTAAATTGATAGTCTTTCTGGGGTCTTTTACGGGCGTACCCAATTGATGGGAACATGGCAGGCACGCCCAGAGAAACAGAGAAATATAGTTGGAGCAGCACAGCATAAGGTTTGAGAGCCAATTTGGGTTTTTTGTTGGGGTCACAAAGCGAATATATAAAAATACTTCAGAGTTGCGAAATAATCCGGTCGATAAAAAATATAAAAAAATATATATAAATATAGGCGGAAAATAATAGAGAGAAGAAAGGAAACATTTTTTCTAAAATAGTTACTAGCGAGTTCTATAAAATTGTCACAAATTAATTTCAATCATTTGCACAACCAAAACTAGGATACGAATGGATTCATTATTAAATACGATATTTTTTGTATAGAGTAACAAACTTTAGTAGATTTAGTTGCAACTGCTTCAGTTGAGGAATTAGGTCTTAAAATTAGGACAACATCTTGACCAAATAATATATGTGTTTAAGATAACTTTCAATGTCACAATACAAATTAAAAACCGATATTAAACTTATGCATATATAAATTCAGCTACCCAAATGCAGCAACCGTAGAAGGCGTACTATGTATTTGTAACCGGTTATGGTTTATGACCAGCCCGCTCCTCAAATTAGATGAAATAGCGCCTCGAATTTAACTAAAATTCGTATCTTTTACTTGGATGTCGGAGTGTTTGTATGTGTGCGTGTGTGTTGTGTGTGTGTGTGTGTGTATGTGTAAATGTGTGTTTTTTAAAACCCACACGCATTATAAGGCAACTTTGTTAAGTGTTTTTTCTAGTGCAAATTACAAAAATGTAGCTACAAACTAGAAACTATTGTAACTAACAGCTCTGAGATGTTAAAAACCACATGACATTTGTTCGAGTGTTCATTTGTATGTGTGTGTGTGTGTGTGTGTTTGTGTGGTCTTTGGGTTTGATTTATCTTGTATGGTATTCAATATTTGTATTTTAGATTTTGATATATTCTTTTACCCGCTGTGCCTTTGGTGCAACGGCCGCCTTTACGCCTGCGACACATATCATACCTGCGCATAAGTAGACATTATATGGTATTTATGTTATATATTAGAATTTCAGATAGGATATAGTAGAGAGTAAATAGTGGAGAGCTTGATAGGAAAGGGGGAGCCCTGAAGTTGTGGCTGCTAACAAAACATTGCTGCTGCTGAATCTGCAAGAACACAAGAATACACCATAACAGGGTGTCCGGCCGCTGGGGCTACTCACTTGGTGATGGCAACGGCGATGTCGTAGACGGGCAGGCGACGTTCCCGGAACAGATACTTGCCCATGTCGGTTAGGGCGGCGGCGGAGTCAATAGCATCGCGGCCCACACGATTACGTTCCAAATAGGGCGTGGCATCGCGACCCTGCAAACGAAACAAGAAATGTGAAATGTTATGCTGGGTATCCGTGTGGCATTCATTTAAATCTAGTTAATTAAGTATATATATGTAAAATATTACATTGTCTGATTGAATGACTGATTGATCGATTGACAGTCCAAGCAGTAAAGGTTGAAATTGTAACTGTACGTTTGTTATGTTCTTATTGAAAATTCCATTCGCAAATATGTACAATTTGTGGAAACATTATGAAAATTGAAATTTTGTTTGCCAACCGATTGGCCTTTAAATTAATTAAATGAAAGAAATTGCATAAATCAATAGTTCCCGGACGACTTCACACTTTAGTAGAAAATGTCAACGATTAGGTCCACGTATTGGGCTTATTATGCAATCGGCTTAGCATTTGACAAGAGGCAACAAACAAATGGGAAATCACCAAATTTATGGCCCACTCAGCGCTAAATGTGTCCGACACTTTAGCGTAGGCAGGAGCAAAGTTGCAAGCGGTTTTGACTTGCCACAAGGGGGCAGTGGGTGCCGGGGGGACACTTTTAAATGGAGTATGGCGGAATCTGTAAGTCAAACGGAAACAAGTGAACGTGAAAAACGTGCCATGCCGTCTGCGATGAGGTTGATCTGATAAAATCAACAAGGCACAGTGGGCCCTTTTAGCCGAAAAGTAAGGTAAAAATCAAAATATTTAAAGCTGAAAATATATTTAGTTCCAAGGCGCAAATTTATTAAAATAGTTAAGCTTATTACATTTTGCAGGCAAAGCTAATCACTTTTTAAAATAATTAAAAAAAATAAGAAAAAATATAACAAATTAAATATGTAGTTTTGTATAATAGTTGCATATAGTTTTAGAAATAATAAATTGAATACCATTTAGAAACTTGATATTTGCATCGAAAGTAATATTGAGGTGTGACAGAAATGCCCGCAACACCCATTAATTTTTTATTTCATTCACAAGTTACGATTTTTGCAATGCAAAAAGTGAATAGAGCCCATTGTTAGGCGCGATGATGCCACTGCCACTGTGAATGGTAATGGAAATGGTGTCGCATGGTTTTCGGTTGTGGCAAGTGCCGACTCGCAAAGTCAAAGTCGTGTGGAGTATATTTTTTCAGGTCTCTCTGCCTCTTGTTAGACCATAAAACTAGTTGCAATTGTGCGTTATATAATTGATGTCTGCTGCTGCCGCAGTTGCAGTTGCATCTTAAGGCAGCTTTTTAACTCTCTCTCTCTCTTTGCGTTGCACATGCAACAATTATCGTGACTAAGGGGCGGTGTTTGTGTCTGTGTATCTGTGTGTTTGCTTGACGTGACAGCTACATAAATTATTATAACACAATTGTCAATCATGTCAGGCCCTAGGCTAATCAATATGTTAATACCTTGCCGTAATCTCATATAGAACCCGTTCGACAGGCCCCAAAGTGCAGGTGATAAAAGTAAGTTAAGTGTCACTGCTTTCAGAGATACGTAGCATTTCAGTCAGCTGGAGACTTTTGATTTGCAGTCATTTGCCAATTGAAGTTCGAAATGTATCTATAAGATACTTGGCTACATTGTGACTGCGCTTGGTCGTCGAGTGTCGCGCCAAGGCATTTGATATATGGCACCACTCACAACGTTCAGAATAACTGTATGGCTTTAAGATTGTTTATAATATGTGTATTATCGACATTTATGAACCGCAGTCAAAATAATCTATTATCCATATGAGCTATGCCTTAGCTATTTAGTGGATAAGGAAGTCAATGTTTGATCGAAATTTGATTTGGTTATCAAATTTGGCAATTGCTGCCACAGAGCAACAATCACAAAAGAAACATATTTAAATGCCGCCAAGTGGCATAGTTATGCGGTTGAATCTATTCTCGTTCTGCTCGACTTCGTCAAATTCGAGTAATTCTCACATTGGGCGACTTGGCAAACACACTAAATAATTGAAAATTCGACATATTGATCAATTGTTAGTGCGCGCACGTCTCCAAGTCAAGCTTGAAAATATTTGTTAATTTTCGGCTAAAAAAAAACGATCAAGAATTTTAAATGTTCCGACTGCGACCTTGGCTAACAGCTTTGGGAAAGGCAACGCTCGACTTCAATTGCTGCTGGGAATTACGGAATAGTACCAAATTATACTCCAAATTATACCTAACATCGGTTTAATTGTACAAGTGCAGCTTACGTGGTATTCAACAGCTGATAGACGCCTCTTACGCTGGGCATTCCAAACTTAAGTGGATGCGCATCTTTGATGGCCCAACGTTTGTGAGCACCTGAGGTGACCTGAGGGCCAACTATCTACTATTTGGTGGATTAGTATGTTGATTGCTTCGAGAAAATGTTTCAAAGCTTTGCTGCTGCATTGCAGTGTGAATCAAGGTGTAGGCAGCATTTAATCGGGGTCAATCGAAAATTATTAAATAATATAATCAGCGTAAATCAAAGTAGTTTTCTTTATTATAATTGAAAAGGGAATACCTCTCACGCGATCGATGTCAAAAAAGGGTATGATCGACTTGATGATATGCTTTACAATGTTCCTTAGTTCAAATAATATTCCACTAATACGACTCCCCTAACAACAATTAAGCAAAGTTTGGACTTGTATGTGGTAAATTTTCTTTATACTTTAATATATTTTGATTAAGCTCGTCTACGTCTAAAATATCAACAACATCGATTTACTATATGTTGCTATACGCTGTCATAGGAACAATCGTTTGGTAATTTAAATTACAAAAATGCTCACTAAAATTGGACTACTACTAAATAGATTTTCAACGTTGTTATGTTACCTTTATGTATTGGTTAATTCGATGAGATTAGCTTTGTTAACAGAATTGAAAAGAAATCATGCTGTCTATAAGTTTAAAAGTAAACACAAAAGGCCCCCGATGTAAAGAAACTTCAGTCTATTCTCCTCCAACGGACAGTTTAAGGAGACACACACAAGCGCTGATAGACACCCAATAGTTTGATGGACTACGGATGACCTGACCTATGGGAGTTACACAATGCAAGTTATGCTTGGAAAATGTCGCATTTTGCATATACAAAATATGTGAATATATATTTTACAGACTGTCCGATTAAAAAAGAGTCATTTGTCAAGTAATCTAATTTGTGTGAGCAGAAACAGAAATATTACACATACGATCCGTTGCGCGTTTTGGGGTGTCTCACATTAATAGCTTGGCCTGAACGAGTGCGAGTGCGAGTGCGAGTACGAGTAGTACCTAAAATGTAACCAGGCTGGCAACTGGGAGACCGGTTTGCCTTTCCCAAAAATGGATCTAGTTTTTATTTTGTTTTGTTTATTTTGCGGCTGCCTCAAAATGTTGCAATGTTCGCTTTGTGCGTAATTAAATGTAAAGTCTTGCGGCTCTTGGACTTAATATTTTAATTTAATTTACAGGGCGCATAAATCTTGGCAAAACTGTCAAAGCGACCGCTAGTTGCTTATATTTCTATAATTTCGAAACGCGCAACGAACTATGCAACTGGCTGCGAGTTCAACAACCCACCCACCCAACTCCAGAGCCAGAGCCAGACCCAGCATCAGTTCCAGCTCCGGCTCTGGCTCTAGCTCTGGCTCCGTTTCCAGCTCCAACTGCAACTCCTACTTCCACCGCAATGACATACGGTTTGACTCTTTGATAGCGGCTGCGCCCACACAGTCAGTGGGTTTTAGGAATGGAATTGGGCGACAGTCAGTGGCCACTTTCGGACACCACCCACGGCGCTGTCGCGTTCGGTTTATAATTTTATTTTGTATTTCGCCTTTGGGTCAGGCCTCTGGGGCATACTTTTCCTTTTGCGCTGTGGCTCCATTGCAATTTATGTATTTCTGGCACTTGCAGTTCCAGCTACTGGCTGTGGCGACAACTGCGACGACGATAAGCTCTTTGCTTTCCAGTTGCCGCTTTCGTGACATATGTCTATACCAGATGCATATTTTAGTATATACAATTTGCCCTGGGGCCAACACCTGGTCGAGGCCTGGCAGCTACTTGAATTTGAAACTTCGTTAGCAAGGAATTTGTTATGACATTCGCAAATATGAGCCTCAAAAATAATTCTCTGAGTGTGTCTGTGTGTGTATGTGTGCGTGTGTGTGTGTTATTTTTGGGTCTGGATCTGGTCTGGGTGTGGCAATATGCATTACTTGGCATTTCCGTGGCAATTGATAAATCCAAGCAGATAAGCCTGGCTGGAGATTGTTGATTGGCAGCCGCACATGTGCTCGACATAAGTCAGTCACGAAAAATTCTTAACTGAGCTCGAAATCAGATCAAATATGTGTTTACGAAATACTTTCTTCTGATTTTAATTCATTGACAATCTCGATTGCTGAAGGCCTCTCGAAAAGTTATAATACTTGACCCGAATGTTGAAAGGAGTTTATAGTTTAGCCTGATGGCCATTTATTTCATTTTATGCTCCATTGAGAAAATGTTCACATAAATTAATCAGTCGCTGACAAATAACCAGCAGAATTACTTAAGGCGGCGGAGTGCAAAATGTTTGTGTTGTTTAAATTTGCGCAATTAATCGATTCTTGCTGCAACAAAACGCTCAGACAAATAGAAAAATAAACGAAATCAAATAATAAATTATATTAAAAACATGAAACTGACAAAGCGCGTAACTCAAAATACTGGCAAGGCTGTGCAAATATATCTAAAGGCGTTCTGTGCTCAAAGACTGCAAATGAGAACCCCTCACCGCCCCCAATTGAAAGAGAGAGAGAAGGAGAGAGGGTGGGGGGAAAGAGAGAGAGACAACAATAAGTTGGCGCTTAAATGCTTTGGTGACTGCCAACCTAGTTTCCAGTTGCCAACTTAATAATGCATCAAACTTCAATTTATGGCTAAACTGAAATTCTAATCGAGTGCAGGCCAGTTAGTATACGGCTCTCAAATTACAATTTGCTGCTATATTAAATGTGCACACACGCACACACACGCATGTATGTGTGTATATACTGATTTACACTATTTTTGTTGTTGTTGTTGCCTGAATACAGCGACACGCACATAATAAATTGCGTATACGCAACGTTGCGCCGCCGCATTGAAAAATGTTTGTGGCGCAAGCGCAACGTTCGACACTTGTACAGCTGTCGGTTGTCGGCTGTCGCCTGGCTGTACGCATGGCGATATGTTGGCGATAGGCGGCTCGTTTCGCGGCGGCACGGGCGGGGTCGCGGCGGCTGACTGGGCAGGTGTAACTCAATTCTAACGGAAAGTTGCCCGCAATTAATTAAAATGTTAATTAAATGTCACAGATAAAAGTTCATTCGGTCGACTATGCTCAACGGTAGCCCAGCACAGCGTCAGCTGCCCACGCCAATTCATTTAATTATCGCATTCAGCCTTTCAGACAGTGTTGGCTTTATAAATCTGAAGCTACGACATATTATGATTGCCTACAGATGAAATGAAAACAGGAAAGAATAGATATTATCGTCACACCGAAAATTAACCACCCTGCAGGAGCGTTATCTAATAGGAAACGCGGAATTAGTTGTCGATATCTTGAAAAGAAAAAACATTCATTTCCCTGATGTTCATAGGAATAACTAATGAATAGTTAGTGTTGGGTAAAGATAAAAGCAAATAGTTATTCTTACAAGAACAAATTTTGTGAAAGGTAATTCCCATTGTTGTTATATGATATTAAGATTTGATCCGACCGACTCCGACTAGCTAGCCCAGAAACAGACAACAGACAAAAGGACATGCTCAGTCGATGCTGCTCTTAATCCAAATTGAGTATATATATATATAATTTAATCGGCTGGAAGTGTCTTTTTCTATGCGTTGCACATTTTATAACAAAACTAAATGACCCCTCAAAAGGGTATTAAAAGTACTGGCCAGATGATTAATAGAGCTGACCTGGAACTAGAGCTCCGCTTGCATCATACTTGCAACCATAAAGCTTTAGCTGGGAGAACATTAATTTGAAGTACTTTAAATTAATGGTTATTTGAGAAAGTTAGAAACATTTTGGGCAGCACAATTTGTTGTTGGGAAACCGGGCATATTAATTCCGAATTGAAACAGTTATCGCATGTTATACTTAATATGTCAAAAAAATTTATTATTGCTCGATATGATTGCTGCCGTATTCCTCTCCTCCCCCGCCCCCTCCGGCAAATGTAATGCGTGACTTTGTTTCAATTCCATTAAGCGGTTGCATATTTGCAAACAGACTTCATCGGCTTATCGGATATGCAATATCGTATAATTTGTAGCCCCTTTGCAAATTCTGAGTAATTACTTGGCCCCGACTCCGACTCTGAGTCGGAGCCGAAGTTGGAGCTCGAACATGCTACAATTTGGTGTCATAAATTCGCATTCGGATTTGTTGTTTATGGCTAGCGAAATATATTTCAACATTAATTAGCGACAGAAAAAAATGTGCTGCTCGCCAGCGTTTAGCGACGGATGCAGCCGGCGTATCTGTATCTGTCAGATACGTATATATGTATCTGTATTTGTGGGCTGGCTTTACGGCAGCGAAACAGAAGAGGAAGTCGCTGTATGAAATTGGGCAAAAATCTAAACATCAGCTAAGCTGCCGACGCGGCCCATTAAATTATATAACTGCGACCAACGCAGCAGCGACGACAACAACAACATTTTGCAGAGTCGACTGCTGCATTATTTATGCTGTCTAAAACAATTTTTTTGTTAACGTGTGTGTCGCGTCGGCCACAACCAATTGACGTACTTAGGGTAAGCCGTGGACGTGTGGGCCGCTGCCTGATGCAACTGAGAGCGCAATCAGTTTGCGGCGGTGCAGGTGGCAGAGCCATGGAAAAACTGCGCCAATTTACCACTTTCCCGTTAGAGTACACATACGAATGCATGGATAGCCCGTTGCCAGACTCTTCCCTCTGCGACAAATGGCTTCCTGAACTGTGCGACCGGCGCGCTGAGACTTGTGTGAGAAAGTCAAACGGTCGATGTAATAATGTTGTCAGAGTGTGTTTTATGGTCTGGTCTGGTTATGCAACGGCATTGCACAGTGACTGAAGAAGCTGCCATGTTGCCTGATGAAGGATCTAAGACCTCGCTGTGACTAAGCTAACCATGATGGATTGCGCAAATATGTGGATATGAGAGCTGGTTAAATGTGCTTTGATTTTCTCGATTGCTGCCAGTCGACATTTCTATTTGGGCCAGACAGCTTCGGCAAGTTCGTTGCCTGAGTCTTTTGTTCGCGTGCTGTAAACTTTACTAATTCCTTCGGCATTTAGCAACGTGTGTTTGTTTTTTCTTCTTTCGTGCTGCTTGCACGAGTATTTGCTTCTAAAAAAACTTGTTATAATTTGTAGCTTTGCTTTGTTTATGGCACAAACAAATGCCCAAATTGATTGCTCACATTTTTTCTAATGAATCGAATTCGCAGCGCATGCGTTGCACGTTGTTGCTGTTTCTTTATCTCTTCCTCTAACCCTCTGCCATTTTCTGTACGATTGGCAACTAAATCGTGATAAAGTTTTTGGTTGCCTGCGGCCGTCATCTGCTCCAATTGCAATGCCCCTTTTGGCTCTGAGGGTCAAAGTTGACTTCGCAAACTGATTACTCAATTAGTTAAGTGAAAGTTAAGCAGCCGTCTACGGGATTGTGTAATGATTGTGGATGGATTTAGTACTTACGCGTGAGATAATAATGCCAGCAATGCTGATGCGTATTCTGGGTCCCTTCAGTAGACGATAGCGCAAATCGACACCATTCCAGAATGAGATGAAGTAACGTTTAACCTGCACACGAGAGAAAAACAAGATTTTAAGAATTAAGAGCTTGTATCATGCTTAGTTATACGCCCAACAGTTGATCTTCTGATGGATATCTGCTTTGCCCACGCTCATCAGAAACAACCGCAGCTGCAGTTGTCGCTGTCGCAGGGTTCATCTTTCATCTAAGCCGCTTAGAGGAACAAGAAGATCGCACCCAAATCACAGGCAGCACCATTAATCTTCACTGAGTGATGTGCATACAAAGCAGGTGTGTCGGTAAGGCTAAGAACTGTAGCTAAATAGACAATAAATGCACAACTGAGTAGATTGAGAGAATCAAAATAATTCTGGGCAAATTGACACCAGTAAGAGTGCTCTACTTGGAAATGCTCGACTAGGAGATACCGTGAGCCTAGCGCCATTATTAACATTCGAATTTCCCTGTGTATATGTTCTTCTTATACCAAGCTTGATATCTCCAGCTATCCCGATCTCGCTTAAAAATCTTTTTTGATATACGAGAATATATAAATTAAGTTATGAAGTGTCTAACTTTTGCTGCATCCAAGATGCTTTATTCTACCCGTTATGTACATTTGCCCAAAATCATCATACCTCCATTTTGAATGAGTTCTGAGTATACAAAGCTCAAAAATGATAACATCAAGAAAAGGTAAGTTATGACACTTCATCGAGCCACTCTGTACAATTTATATGAAGTCAGCTTTTCAATCTAAAATCATATTTGAATCTTTCTGGGCGCTTTTCGTGCAGGTACGCACAGTCTATTACCTGCGCTTAATTAAATGTTTATTCTATTCGGTTTTTGCTGTGCATAAGGCCCAATTATTATGTGCGCCTTGTCTTCTGTGTGTACGTATACACGTTCCCTTCTATCTGACTCGAAAATCGCCAAAACAACTTTTACAAATCTCCAGACTCGGCTGGGAGTGTATAGTCTTTTGGCAATTCAAATTGTCCGGCCGACTGTCTGGATAAATGCCAATGACAACTTCATGTGTTGTGCCCCTTTGGTTGTGGTACGCACCTGCAGGTTGTCTCCGCCATGGAGACGATAGCCATCATAGTCGACAATCACCAAGACCTCGGGATAGATGACGTACGGGGCCTGGCGTCTAGAGCGCAAGCGCGACTCAGACGTATGCGGTTCAGTCGGGTCCGCCTCTATGTCCAGGGTGCCCTCGTCCTCGTCGTTGAGATCCTCAAAGTCGGGACTATTACCGCTGCTGCGGCGGCTTCGACGCTGTCGGCGTTGCAGACGTTCAAGTTTTTCACTGGCTAGCAGATCGTCTGGCTCCATGAAGGCTGCAATTGGCAGAGAGAAGGATGACGAATGAATCACAATGAAATGAAATGCAATCGCTTCATTATTGCCAAGCAAGTCAGGTAGCTGCACATTTAACTGTACTTAATATAATTTTTCGCTCATTATAAGGCAGCCCAAAAAAAAAAGATGTTGCGAAATCGTTTTTGCTTACGTGCCGGGCTAGCCGAAAATCGTGTAAATGCCGAAATACCATCCATAAAATAACCGTGTTTATGGTGCAACTAAATTAACGCGTGGTATTTTGGCGCCACCGGCCAACCGCAAAGGTAAATGCATCCGGCGAAGGACAGCATCGTGTACGGCAACGACGGCGACATCGAAAGTTCAAGCCTCACATTGAACTCACGCTAAGAGCCGCAAAGCGAACAGGAAATGCTAATCATGTGCACGTCGATCTCTCTCGCCTGACTGACGGCACGGAGACGGGCAGATTTATGCTTAGAGCTTAGAGATGGTTTCTAGTTCAATGTGCCCATTATTTAAGATGCGCGCACGCTGCCGATACAGATGCCGATTAGCGCGGAACAAATGAAGAATGATATGCTACCCATGACGGGGGCTCAATGTCAGGCCAAGGTGGACTTTTGGTGAAAGACAAAAGCACAGCATAATAGATGGATGTAGCGGTAATCAGCGTTACAGACTCTATGTAATACAAGCATCTTTTTCTGGGTTATATGTCAAGATTTAAATGTTGTATACCTACCGAAATCACTTAGTTGATCATCAGTGGCCGATGCCTCACGTTTGTAGACAATGTGATGGGCCTGCTCCTTGTTGGGACTTAGCTCATGTGGCAAAGGTTTAATGACCAGATCGTGACCAATGCTGCCCTCCTGTAAAAGATTTCAAATGAAGAAAAATTGAGTTGAGTTCAGTATTTGGGCCACAAATGAGGAAGTTTCAAAGCTTAAAATATGGCATGTAGTAAATTATGTGTATGAAATTGTGAGAATGTAAGCTCGGCTTATTTTTCAAGCTAAAGCAGTGTGCTGCTTAACTCAACATAAGGCTGTTAAAACTTGACTGTTAACCATAATCCGTTAACTGCCAATTTAGATTAACAGATCTAAGCTTGAACCTAAGCTCTGGTTCAAGTCTTTACCACTCATATATTTTTAATATTGTAAGTACAAATATTAGTTTGATTTCCCTAAAAAGTTTGTTATTTCAGCCAAACCTTATTAATAAATATTATTATATTGTTGTTTCGGTTATCTTTTGGAAAGTGTTCTAGTTCAAGGTTGATTGCGTAGTAAGTGTGAGTTGAACTTCGGGTTTGAAGCGGGTTGATTCATTGACATTAACATATTGTTATGATATCCATATAATCTGTATTGGTTTTTGATTAGATATAGAACCTCCGTTTAGCTGCAGTCAACACACAGATAAACTATATATCAGAGCCAGTCAGTTACTTTATAAGAACGTGTTGCTTTTTGACGATATATAACATATAACATAGTTGTATTCTTTTTAAATATTGAATAAATAATTGATGTCTTCCATATTTCTTTTGAACATGAATCGACAGTGTCTTACAGGTGCACAAAAGCTGTGTAGAATTACTAATTTGCTATATTTGTAAAATATATGTACTTCTTTTTAATACAGCTACGAGTCGTATGAATGAGTTGGCAAGCCTGGCGCAGCGATCATAAAAATTAGCTGCAATTTGCATAGCTGCACAATTTATGCAAATCATTTGATCTAGATAAGAATATATCTTGGGCGGTTTTTATTTTTTTTCTCTATGTTGTTGTGCCACGGTTTTTATCGCCTCTGTAATTGCAATAATTAACTACAGAAAAAAAAGTGTGCAAGAAATTGAAAATAAAATAGTTGAAAAGACCTTGGCAAAGGTTAGCTAATTAAAAGCAATCTATTTAGCAATAGTTTAATTTCTGCCAATTGAAAATTTCGATTCATCAAGCCAAACGCGTGGCGGAGTGCCAATTGAAATCAGCACGGACTGTGGGGGCCGAAGGGGAGGCACCCACTCGAGAACGCCCCGCCGTGCTCTGGCAATTCTATGCTATAATTAAAATATTAAATAAAAATTATAGCACTTACTTTAAAGCTCGTATTATTAATGTGCTCGAAACACGAACATAGCTCGGGGCGAGCAAAACGGAAATGTGACTTGAATCTATATTGGGGCTCTGCTCTGAGTCGTCGCTGAGTCATTTGCAATAATTAAACTTGATTTATATATAGCTAAATAGATTTTTCATAAGTCTGTAATAAGACGCAATACATATTGATTGATGCATTAACCAAACGTTTAGCGCAAATATTTGTGCCAAGAACCTGACTGTGCGGTCTGGGCAGTGCTTAAATGCCAAAGGAAACGCCAGAGTTCAATGTCCTCGCACAAAACGTCTGCCAAATGGAAAAACAACAATATTTTAGTGCCATAAAGCAAATTGCAAGCAACGCAACGGCAACAAATTGCCATTGATGACATGCCACGAAACGGCTTCGACTTGGACTACGACTGCGACTAAGACTACGAGTACGACTTTGACTACGGCTTAGAGTTTACTTCAATGCCGACGCGTCGCCTATTGAATTGCAAAATTGCAAAGTGCGTTTCGCCAATTGAATCCAATCACAAATGTGGCCCAGCTGCCGAGTCGCAGTCGGAGTCGTAGTCAGAGTCGTCCGCGCCGCTGGGCATTTGAATTATGAGAGATGTTTGCGCTTGCGACATTTAAATGCATTTCTGTTTTTTTTTTTTCACTTCTCAACAAGATAACGGCGCACGGTGCGTATGATAAATGTGTCAGACAAGCCATTGGAATTGACATTCAACTTGAGAGCAGGTTTCGAGAGCGAACAGGTGAATGCCATAAAGGGCCATCAAGCTGAGCGAATAAAAACATAAATAAAGCAAAAATTGTAAATAAATTACTGTTAATTGTGGACTGCCAATTTTAAACTGAACCCATTGAAGAAGAGTATGAAAGGGTATATAGGCAGAAGGAGTCATCTCTGGCTCCTAACAGGACGACGAGTAGAGTCGAGCTCGGAAACCTGTCCTAGAAAATTTAAAATATATATTATCCTATGCATGAACAGAACGAGCTTCGTCTTCAAATTATAATTGCGATAAATCGATTTTGGGTCATGTTTATTTAACTCATATATAGTTTTGCCATACGCCTTATTTGAGCTGAAAATATCGTATTGATCGGACTTTAAGCGCCGAAGTTAAGCAAGAATGCATTCCAGCTTGCGTGTGCTTGTATGTATATGTGTGTTTGCATATAAGAAGGCGGTATTGTTTTTAACGGCAGCTTAACGCTGGCTGCAGGGTATCTTCTAGTCGGGCACTCCCAACTGGAGCAGTCGTGCTTGCTTCAAAGTATTCTGAGTACTAGAGTTGTCAAAATGCTTGCGAATGTGTGTAATTTTTTTGGCGTGCGCAACCAGATCGCCATCTTATAGGCGCAACATTTGCTCATATTTTATTTTATTTTAATTTTTTTAAGCAACATGCTACATATGCATGTGTTCCGCCTTTTCAGCAGCAACAACAACAACAACAACAACTGCAAAGTGTGGCAGTTGCAACAACATATTTGTCTGGCTAGCAAAACCTGAGCTGAGGCGTTTTGGGCGTGTGCCATGATCATTTTTATTTATTTATTTTTGTTTTTGCAAATTTATTTAGCTCTCATTTATTTATTTGGGATTGTTGGCATGGAGTTCTTTGGGCAGCTCGACGACTATTATGTAATTTTTAAAATGCAACAAGCTGTTAATTTCGAAAAATGTCTTGCTAGCTGTTTATGCGAGAGTGCAATTAATAAATTACTAAGCGATTTATTTGCGCGAGTGTTGAAATTGCCTTGAGAGCAATGCCCAGAGCCTATTTTCCTAATTAAGTGAGCATACATTTAAGCCAGTGCGTTTTTTGCTAGCAGCTTGGCAGCACGTGCTACTTAGTTAATTATATTTTGATAAATGTAAATATCAGCTTGCAACAAGGAAAACAGCAAATTGCTTTCAAATCACGCAGCATTTGCGGGTGCATTTGGGTGCCGGGTGCTGGCTGCCGGGCCTGAAATAAAGTTGTCCGGCTGTCTAGTTTATGTAATCACCCACAACATGATTGTTATATCTTGTTGTTTGTTGCCTGTTGCCGACTGGAGACAGGCGCCGTTATTTATTACATGGCTCCAAACAGTTTGAACGCAATCCCAGGCCTGGTTGGACCGCACTCAGCCTTTCACACATCAACTCTGTCGAATTGTCAGCCAGTCTGTTTGTCTGTCTCTGCGTCTATCAGTTGGACAAGCCACCAAAGTGGCACCTGCGGATACGCCCGAGCTAACCTCTTTCCATTGAGGCCAAAACCAACCGAGCCAAGCCACGCCTCACCGATAAAAATCAATTGTCAATACTGTGATGGATTTGGGATGCGATGATAATGATATTTGGCATTTGGCATTGTCGGCCATTGTACGCTTATTAAGACTATTAATTGCTTTTTAATTTCGCACATCATCAGCACTTTAAAGATATTTGAAAAGCCATTGTTGGCGTGCCATCCATCTCCGTATTGCATCACAGCAGACGCTCTGCCCCCGCCGCAGAGTTCACTGAACTAAACACACAAACAGCCATTGAAATTAACTTACAATCCGAATTAACACCTCCTGATATTTGTTTTTAGTGTTTTTTCCCCAGCTTGTGCCTGACAATAGCCCAAAAGCATCAGCGTTCAGTGTGCAAATATTGAATACTGGCAGCCAACAGTCGGACACAACCACAAAACAAATCTACAAATCGAAAAAAAATAATATTTTGCGGCTTGTAATTTTGGGAATTAGCATAATTTTTGCAAATTCATGACACGAACATTAGACGCCAGAGGAGCTAACTTTGATTGTTGAAATTGTTGCCTCTGCATGCAGAATTTGCTCTAGCGAAGGAATATGACGCCACAGGAAATTCTTGACTCTCTTTAATTGCTTTTATTTGCCTGTTTTCTAGTTATTATATCTTTTAAATTAATATTATATCTATTTAATTACTTTTTTCACACTGTAGACGTCATTGATAAAATTAGTTATGAAATGGCGCTTAGTTTGCCGGACGGACAAATAAAATGCTCTCATCGTGTCGAAAAAGGTATTGGAAATTTTTGTCTTTTGATTAGGATGTTTACTAAATACATAGATTGACTCATCTTTAATGGTTAATAAATATATAATGGATTCTGTTCAACATATCATTGAAAAACAAGTTTATAGTTTTAATCTCCAAATTGCTCATTGTTCCAAAATTGTATACAAAAAACATTTCAAAATTCCAAATATAAGCATATTTTTGAATAGTATTTGTCTAACGAACATATTCTTGTAAGATGTTTGATGGACCATCGGAATGTAAATTGAAATATGTAAAATAAAATCAAAGCAAAAGCCTTGTTTCAAATATGTTAATTGGTATATATATTATATTTTTTTAAATTCTCAAAATCTTTTAATGATAATCATTAAAACCCAAAGTTACTATTTAAGATTAAAGAGCGCAGCCTGTAAAGCGATTGCCCTGAAGACGGTTAATGAACTGCAGCCGAAATTTATAAGAGATAAAAATATAGGAAAACAAAATAGTTTCACTTTCTATAGAAGGTACAGAAGGTATTATAATTTTGTGAAGAAATGTAGAACGCATAAAAGGAGACATTTCAGACGGCGAAAAGTACATATATATTCTAGATCAACATCAACAGCAGAATTTTAATATTAAAACGTTTAATAAAAACTATATAAAGAATAGAATATAAAGCAACTAACCAAATAAATGTTGTGGTTAGGGACAT